GTGTGTGTGTGTGTGTGTGTGTGTGTGTGTGTGTGTGTGTGTGTGTGTGGTGCGTGTGTGTGTGTGTGTGGTGCGGCCACGTTTTGATTTTTCCTGAAGGCATAAAGGAACATTTTAAACAACCTATTAAACCATTTTTAACCATCTACACATCTAAAATCAGCCGACTGGATTCATCTGCACGTGTCTTGTTGTGTTTTTTTTTATTTCAAAATTTAATAAAATGATAATTACAATTTAATTTTCTGCAGAAATAAACTCCACCTTTGAGACGAGTTAAAGTTCATTACTAGTACCGATCACCGTCTTTAAATAAACTATGTTTCTACGGTTTAAATGCCTTTTAATATGAGACTAGGAACAAAGCATCTTTTAGTTTTTGGATTATTCTATTATTATTAAATACACTATATTGCATTTTAAATATGGTTTTTATTTTGTGGCAGATTATTATACCGTTTGATTTTTTAATAACTAGATATTGGCTTTAATTGTCCATCACAGAACTTCTACTGAAGGTTTCCTTCATCAAAACTAAAATTACGCCTGTTTTGGGAAAAACTATCACATTTAATGAAAATTTGTGATCTTAAAGCAACTTAATGCAAGGCCGAGAAAATAAAATGCAAGTTTTAATTTTATGTAGTCAGAAACTAATTTTACACTTTATTTTGTTACGTGGATGACAAATGTGTCCGCTAATTTAAAAAAAAAGTACAAAAAATGTGGCAAAATCAGACCACTGCTTTGTTTACATTGAGTACGTACCCGCATTTCTAAAATACTAATGATATTTCTGGAAAACTACAGGAGGTAACTGTCAAACTTCACCTTTTGATTTAGTACTGAATACATTTTTCTTTGCTGTAACTTTTATACTTTTAAAGTGTTGGCAAATGTTTTTTTTCAAGCTCTTTCAGTCAAAACTATTAGTTTTAATGTGCAGGACTGTGATGGAGGCGGTGTCTCTTACTGGGATTGGGCTGTAGCACAACCTCTGTCTGCTTCATTATCTTCTCCGTCCACATCTTGGTGTTCTCAGCTCTCACCAGCAGGTTCTCCAGGTGGGCATCCAGCTCCGTCTTCTCGGCCTGGCCCAGTTTCTCCTCTGTAAACTGACAAAACGCATATAAAGTCCAAGCAATCAGGGCAGACGACAGCTAGCATGCAGCTAATAGGTTTCTGAGGCCGAAATTAATGTGGAGCAAAGAGTAACGTCACTGGTTTATAAATAAATCCAAACATCCGTTTTTGAAGCTACAAGCTGCAACAACTAATGTAGCGGTTTACAGCGTTAGCATGAATTAGCGTTAGCCGCTTTCCAACCGCGCTAACGCTACAAGCTAGCTGGTTAGCATGAAGTGCCGCCGTCTCCACAGCTGAACTTACTTGCACCGCGCGACTCAGGAAGGTGCCGGCGTCAGCGGCTAGTCGTTTAACGTTAAAGTCCATGGCACAGCGGTGAAAATAGTCTCCTAAAACAAACAAAAACACTACTCAGTCTCTCGTCAAAACTGTCATCGCTAATGTCACTGGGGCAACTTTTTCTTTCGCCAGAGTTCCACCCAGCTGTTGATCCGGACAAAGATCGTACGACCGCAAGATAGTTCACGTACAGCTAGCTGTAAGCGAACGATGCAGCAAACAAGACAAAGATTTTTAACGCAAAACGTCGAATGGATTATGTTTTATTGCAGAATGGTTAGAAATATCACTCGATTTAGAGAAATGACTAATATTTTGCGCTTAAATACTAAATCCAAGCGAAAACGCTAGTGATATGAATGTTCACTCTTGCTTTACAAGTTTCCTTTGTAGCAGTTCCGATTGTTGCATTTTGGTTAAAAAGAAATATCGGGAAAAACTGATGTGTATGTTGTGAAAACACATTCCCTCAAAATAAAATCTTTTTACACGGATGTAAGTGTAACAAAATAAATAAAACTGAGATTTTATAAACGCGTACTACACCTTTGACTGGGATTTCAGTGGTAGCCTAAAGTGAAGGCAATATTAACTTTAATTTTAATGAGACCTTGAAGGCACCATAAGAGGCGTGACTGCTCGCCGCCTGTATGGAAGCCCATTTCTACCTTTACAAAATAAATAAATAAATATCCTCTCACATAAGTACGACGGAGCTTTAGGACCACGCTAAAAAATAAATAAAAATAAATTGCATTGCCCCACGAAGAAAAAAAATTAAAAGCTATAAACCAACAAAGTCCATGCTCAATAATCCAGGTATACCATCCAACAATTTTCAGTCAGGTCATCTGGACAGTTTCTTTTTTTGTGCTGAAACATTTCACCTTCCATCCAGAAGGCTTCATCAGTCAAGGATACACACAACACAAAACTGATTCTTCCCCTAACAGCTTACTCTAAAGTGGAACAAACCAGTTATGT